TTTCTCCTGAAATTATAAGACACGACAATGGAGTTGTGGAGTAAAAACTGCCTAATGGACACAAAAGGTTTGAATATCAGGGAGAGTAACATATTCTTTTCTTCTTTTTAATTTGTATAATAGTAACATTGAGGAGTCTAGAAAATAATTTTATCAGGAAATCTATGGTTTGCTTTCTATTGCTGTGACAAACATCATGACCAAAACAACGTAGGGGAGGAAAGGGCCTATTTTATTTTATAGGTTATAGTCCATCATCCAGTGAAGCTAACGTTGGAAGTAAAGGCAGGAGCTTGAGTCAGAAAACATGGAGAGGTGCTGCCTATTGGCTCACTTTGCCTTGCTTCCAGGCTCATGATTAGCCTATTTTATTACAGAGTCTAGGGCCGCCTACACAGGATTAGTATCTCCCACAGGGGTGTAGGCCCTCCCACATCAATCAGCAATCAAGACTACCTCTCAGTTATACCCACAGGGCAACCCGATCTAAGTATTATTCAACTGAGGTTCTGTCTTCCCAGGGAACTTTAGGCTGAGTCAAAGAGACAGTAAAAAATTAATGAGTCCAACCTAGTATATTCCTTAACAAAGGTGCCATCATATTCCCAAAGTCTTTCTTTTTACAGGTCAAATTCTATCTCCAGATAATCTCAGTTGCTTTGGCTATTGGTTCTAATCTTACTCAGTCCAGTATGATTTCTTTCCCTGTGACAATTCTTTAAATATGTTCAGCCACTTTCTAGTTCCTTTTTGATCTTCTTAATAGGATCATTAATGTGTAGTTTTCACTCATATTTTAGACCTCATACAGTTTGCTAAAAATCACTGTGCAAAAATACTATTCTTGTAATATCACTGGTTGATTTTTGTTTATAAGGGAAATACTGATCTTCCAAAACAAAATTGAAATGTTCCCTTCTCTAATTTCTCCAGAAAAAAAACTTATATATAATTGGTAATTAAAAAAATTCTTGAACTGTTTAGTACAATTTATACTTGTTTATACTTGAAGCCATTTGGCTCTTAAGGTTTTTTTTTTGTGGATTTACTTTTCTTAAGACAGGTTCTTGCTATGCTTGCCTCAAATTCCTGGGATCATGACCTTACTGTCTCAGCTCAGAACTATAGATGCAGACCCCTATTTTTGTCTTGTGGTAAGATTTAATTTTTTTTAAATTCAAACTTTGTTGTAAAGAACTTTCAAAAACAAAATAAAACAATGACAACAAACCACAGACCAAAATCAGTCCCATAGAAAATCTATACATTTCAGTGAACCTCTATACAGTTAGGGTTTTTCAAAGTATTTTTTCTTTTTCTCTGAGGATTGGATATAGGGCCTTGTACATGCTAAGCAAGTGTTCTGCATCATCAGCCTTTTAAGGAACTATTATTTCAGGTTGACCAAAGGTATCATTAGCACATTATTATTACTATTATCCTTACACTATTATTTTAATATACTGTCTATAGTATATGTAGTGATATTACTTCCTTCATTCTAAATATAGGTAATTTTTTGTTTCTATTTTCCTAATCAGTATGACTGAAGCTTTGTTAAATGTATCAGTCTTCTGACACAAGTATCTTAGAACCTTTTCATTTTTGTTAGCCACATTCTGTGGATGGAAAAATAGTAATATGAAGCTAGTTTTAAATCTCTTCCTCATTACTTGATTGTGTAAATATACACATATAAAGTACAGAGATCTGCGATTGGCAAAAAGCAAATGAAGCAATTAATCTTAGCTTGTAAGTTTAAGGAGATGACCAAGAAATTCTTATATTTAAATTTTTACCAACTTCAGTGGGCTATTCTATGACTTAAATGAGGTATAGTAATTTTATTATAGTTGTTTCTTTTCTTGCTGTCTAACAGCCTATAGCTATTCTTATGTATGAAAGCCAACTTATATTTTTGAGATGTTACTTTAATTACTTTTATATTGCTGTCAAGAGATTCCATGACCATGGCAACATACAAATGAAATAGTTTATTGGAGGCTTGCTTATAGTTTCAGAAGGTTATTGATCATCATGGCAGGGAGCTTGTCAGCAGGCAGGCTGACATGGTGCTAGAACAGTAGCTAAGAGCCTACATTTGATCTACAAGCAAGATGCAAATTGAGAGAAGTGAGAAAAGAGAGGTTAGAAGGGATGGAGGGAGAGACGGAGCTCTGCACTTTGAAACCTCAAAGTCTAGTATTAGTCAAAGATGGATATCTATGTGTTAGTAATTTTTACTAGTAGTAACATTTGATAAGAACATAAATCTGGTACAGTCCCTAAGAATGAATAATGAACACACTTAAGCATTTCTCTTAGCTAGAATGGCAAGTACAATGAAATAGCTTGATGTCTCCCTTCAATAATTCATTTGCCTAGTAGTTGAGGTCAAACAGATGTGTTGCAGCTTCTCTAAGAATTGCTATTCAATCTGCATTTTACTCTTACAGTCTTAACATTCCTCTGGGTTCCATTTCTTAGCACCTGTTTGTACACTGGAAACAGTGACATTACTGTCCATCACTAACATTAGAATGCTATGGCAAGACTGATTTCCAGAGTGGTTGTACCAGCTTGCAATCCCATCAACAATGGAGGAGTGTTTCTCTTTCTCCACATCCTAGCCAGCATCTGCTGTCACCTGAGTTTTTGATCTTAGCCATTCTGACTGGTGTGAAGTGGATCTCAGGGTTGTTTTGATTTTCATTTTCCTGATGACTAATGATGTTGAACATTTCTTTAGGTGCTTCTTGGCCATTCAGTATTCCTCAGTTGAGCGTTCTTTGTTTAGCTTTGTATCCCATTTTTAATAGGGTTATTTGATTCTCTGAATTCTAACTACTTAAGTTCTTTGAATATTAGCTCTCTATCGGATGTAGGGTTGGTAAAGATCTTTTCCCAATCTGTTGGTTGCCGTTTTGTCCTATTGACAGTGTCCTTTGCCTTACAGAAGCTTTGCAATTTTTATGAGGTCCCATTTGTCAATTCTTGATCTTAGAGCATAAGCCTTGGTATTCTGTTCAGGAACTTTTCCCCTGTGCCCATGTGTTTGAGGCTTTCCCTCACTTTCTCCTATATTACTTTCAGTATATCTGGTTTTATGTAGAGGTCCTTAATCCACCTGGACTTGAGCTTTGTACAAGGAGATAAGAATGGATTGATTTTCGTTCTTCTACATGCTGACCTCCAGCACCATTTGTTGAAAATGCTGTCTTTTTTTCCACTGGATGGTTTTAGCTCCTTTGTCAAAGATCAAGTGACCATAGGTGTGTGGGTTCATTTCTGGGTCTTCAATTCTATTCCATTGATCTTCCTGCCTTCTCTGTACCAATACTATGCAGCTTTTATCACTATTGCTCTTTAATACAGCTTGAGGTCAGGGATGGTGTTTCCCCCAGAAGTTCTCTTATTGTTGAGAATAGTTTTTGCTATCCTGTTTTTTTTTTTATTATTCCAAATGAATTGCTCTTCTTAACTTTATGAAATTAGTCTGGCAGTTTCTCAGAAAGTTGGACATAATCTTACCTGAGGATCTAGCTATACCACTCCTGGGCATATACCCAAAAGATGCTCCAACATATAACAAGGACACATGCTCCACTATGTTCATAGCAGCCTTATAATATCCAGAAGCTGGAAAGAACCCAGATGTCCTTCAACAGAGGAATGGATACAGAAAATGTGGTACATTTACACAATGAATTATTAAAAACAATGATTTCATGAAATTCATAGGCAAATGGATGGAACTAGAAATATCCTCCTGAGTGAGGTAACCTAAATACAAAAGAACACACATGACATGCACTCACTGAGAAGTGGATATTAGCTCAAATGCTCAGAATACCCAAGATACAACTCACAGACCACGTGAAGCTCAAGAAGAAGAAGAAGGAGGAAGAAGAGAAGGAGGAGGAGAAGGAAGAAGAGGAGGAGGAGAAGGAGGAGGAGGAGGAGGAGAAGGAGGAGGAGGAGGAGGAAGAGGAGGAGAAGGAGGAGGAGAAGGAGGAGAAGGAGGAGGAGGAGAAGAAAGACCGAAGTGTGGGTGCTTTGGTCCTTCTTAGAAGGAGTAACAAAATACTCATGGGAGCAAGTATAGAGACAAAGTGTGGAGCAGAGACTGAAGGAAAGGTCATCCAGAGACTGCCCCATCTGGGGATCCATCCCATATACAGTCACCAAACCCAGACACTATTGTGGATGCCAAGAAGTGCATGTGGACAGGAGCCTGATATAGCTGTCTCCTGAGAGGCTCTGCTAGAGCCTGATAAATACAGAAGTGGATGCTTGCAGCCAACCACTGGACTGAGCATGGGGTCCCCAATGGGGTCCCCAATGGAGGAGTTAGAGAAAGGACTTAAGGAGCTGAAGGGGTTTGCAACCCCATAGGAAGATTAATAATATCAACCAATGAGATCCCCCAGAGCTCCCAGGGACTAAACCACCAAAAGTACACATGGAAAGACCCATGGCTCCAGATGCATACGTAGCAGAAGATGGCCTTGTTGGGCATCAATGGGAGAAGAGGCCCTTGGTCCTGTGAAGGCTCAATGCCCCAGTGTAGAGGAATTCAAGGGCAGGGAAGCAGGAGTGGGTGAATGGGTGAACACTCTCATAAAAGCAGGGGAAGGGGGATGGGCTAGGGGCTCCGGGGAGGACCGGGAAAAGGGATAACATTTGAAACGTAAATAAAGAAAATATCCAGTAAAAAAAAGCTATGGCCACTAGGTTGGAAAACTTCAAAGAGAAAGTATCAGATAAATGTTGAGTAAACTTGAAATTTTGAGGCAAATCTTTGTTCAGTACCAGAAATACTGAGCCATGAGCTTCCTAAATCTACCTTACAAATGATAGCTAAGAAACTTGTTAAATGATAAAAAAAAAATCTTGGTTTATTACAAATACATTACTCACCAAGGTTACTAAGTCTAGAAAATGAAAACATGTTTCTGGTAACCCCCACACAAACCATCTAGAATTACTGAGATCCATACCTTGATACATACTTTTTGGGTAAGATAAATGATAATTCATTTCCTATATCATTTTCCAACTTAGCATCTGGAATATGCTGCTGAACCATTGCAACGATACTTTCAACGTCACAGTGTGGTTCCTTCTCCAAGACTATATGATATCCAGCACCTGAAATAAACCATTTAGATGACCAACTGAAGAAGCTTTCTATTTCTCTTTTTAATATGCTTAAGACCAATTTTTGCTCTTTATGGTTCAGGTTATCTACTCCTACAAGAAAGAAGATATGGTTTGCCATAAGACCTTTAGTAATGAAAATGTGGTAGCTGATACAAAAGCTTTCAAATGGCACTTTAAGGCACTAAATACATAACAGCTACCTCTAGAATTTCAATATAATCCTTAGAGAACCATGATTTAGCATATATAACCAAACATCGCTGATATACAAAAGTGAGACCCCTGTCATTGGGCTACTTATTTTGAAATAGAAATTGTAATAATCATTTATTTGCTGTTGTTGTACATCATGTATCAGACATTAATCTAAACCCCAAGGATACACAAGTGAGTATCACAAATAAAAATGTAGTTTTTCAGGATGTTTCAACCTGTAAAGTAATCATAAACTTTGAAAAATGAAGTTGGTATCTAAATTGACATTAGATAATATTTTAAAAAATGTATCTGGGGTTGTAGACAGCTTGAGAAATGGTAGCAAGCAGTTAACACCACTTGTTTTTATTGCAGAGGACCTTGGTTTGGTTCTAAGTACCCATGTGATGCTTTTCAAGCACCCATAGTGAGTTCCAGGAAATCCAATGCCCTGACCTCCATTGCTACCGGGCACACATGTGGTGTGCATACATACATGCAGACAAATACATCCTTACACACAAAATAAATTAATCTAATAAAATATGTATGAGAATATTATCAAAATACAATATACGAAATTCTCAAGGATTATGTTCTATAAAGTGGGGCTAATGTTTTGAATCTAATACATAAAGGACACAGCATGGTAACCAGTCATAGGAGATCAGTAATTGAATTGAGTGGACTCAAATCCTGAATAAATTTATGTTAATTAACATTTAGTTATTTCTATTTACATTTATACACTCTAATTTTAGACTCTTACTACCATGGCTGACATTTATAGCCTCTAGTGAAAATTCCTTCTATAATCTTAGCCCCAAATAATTCACTGCTTAAGATACCAATTTTGTCACTTATTATAGACACATATAATTATCAAATTGCCTTATTTCACTCATAGAATCTTATTTTATATGTATGAGTATTTGGCCTGCATATATGTCTGTGAACCACATGCATGCCTAGTTTCTGTACAGGAGGGTACAGGAGGGCAACGACTCCTTGGAACTAGAATTATAGATGACGATCAGCTGCCAGGTAGGTGATGAGAATTTAACCTAGATCCTCTGCAAGAGCAACAGGTGTTCTAAACCACTGAGCCATTTCTCTAGCCTTCCCTTATTTGATTAACTTATTCTGCATTACATTCTAATTGGTAATCACAACATTTCAGACTTACGTCATTATGATGGGGATTTGATACTGGTTGGCAACATGGAGATTAAAATAAGGGATATTTCATTCGTCCTCTCAATGACTGACTGACTGACTGATTGACTGAATGCTCAGTCATTTCAATCAGCCAAATAACCATGTGGATGCAGGAATACATTACAGAGACAAAGATTGACAGCAAGTATAAAATGGGTCAGCAACTTTGTGTAAAACTGCAAAAAACCATGATCAAAATACATATGAAAATCTCAAAGAACAAAAAAATTTTTTTAAAAATTATAATAATTGATACCAAAATTGCAGAATAGAGGAAGATCATTAAGTTTTAGGTATATAATCAAAATAAAATGAAGATAATATTAGAAGAGTATTACTAAGGTATTGGTATCCTAAGAAAGATCAAATGGAGTGAGACCATATATTTGTTTCAGGAATACTGAAGAGCCACAGCAGTGCAAGGTCCCCCTGACCATGATGGCAATGCGGTCACCCAGGACGTCAACTTCATCCATGTAGTGTGTGGTTAGTAAAATGGTCCGATTCTGCTTATAATACTGAAGGATATCCCAGGTGGCCCTTCTTGACACTGGGTCCATGCCAGATGATGGTTCATCAAGTATCACTACCTAAAAGCCAGAAGAACAATTCTATGATCACTGACAATTAATACTGGGCTACATTACTATTTGAAGGGAGAGCACTGGAGCTAAGGCACAGAATGACAACTAAAGTAGATGTGAACCTAAGAAAATCGCAACACTCCCAAACATTATTGTATACCAGCTGTGACAAAAATGCTGATGACTCCCTTCTTTCTACACTGTCATGTTTCCTTTCATATTCGTATCAGCTTGTAGGTTTTAGAGAGCTGAGCTGCAGAAACTCTTATACAGAGTCCCTGCTTCACCTCCCACTCTGTGCTCACATGTTCCCCTTTCTCTGCTTTTTGAATACCTTGGAGCCTCCCATAAGTGCTAAAATGATGGAGAGTTTGCGCCTCACTCCTCCACTCACTAAGCCTGATAATGTATGGTAATTTTCTTGCAGGTTAAAAGCAGACAGCATACGGTCAACTTCCATACAGTGTATGTTTTGAGGTATTCCTTTTACCTGGAAAGAGAAGCCAAAAATGCATCCAATTTTATTGTCAGAAAGAATCAAGGCTCATTAGACATTGTATAGATACAAGTGTATTGCAGATGTATCTCTAGAAATACTTTACATCTGTTTTATTTAATTCAATTAAAAGTGTCTTCTATCTTGTGTATCTTCCCTCACATTTAAGGGAAAGTTCCTAAAACAAAAATTTTCACAGACTAGAGATGTAACTTGATGGCATAGTATGTGAAAGACCCTGGATAAAGATATCTGTAGCACATTAACAAAGACATGGAACACACACACACACACACACACACACACACGTACATGCACACATCTCCATGTGCTGTGACAATATATATACTTATTTATAGCCTACTGACCATGTTAATCACAGAGAACTGTGAAAAGTAAAGTCAGCAACTGTCTTGAGAAGCCCAGAATCTAGAGTACCACTGAGACAATGGGGCATTCCACTTTCCTGTGTACCCTTTAGCATGAAGTCCAAGCAATCAAAAGCATGCAAGTGAGCTCTCTAGTCCAGACTGAGAATGAAGAGAAACATTCCAGTTTGATTTGAATGGAAAAGGAAAGCAGACAGCCAGAGGACCAAATGTTTTTCTCCTTCTTTTGTATACCAGCCGCAGAATTATCCTGGTGGGGACAGTGGTGGGAATAAATAAGAAGTCTGCAAGAGCCAAACTCTGAGGGAGGAGAAAACTTTCCCATAGCTCTGTGGCTCCATAGGGAAGGCTCACAGCCTACTCTTTGTCTTTTTGCAGATTGGATGTAGGTAGCTCAGCCATGGAAAATGATAATTTCTGGCTGAACAAATGACAAAGGAATCTGAGAAAGCAGGAAGTACAGAAAGAGAAGAGAAGCAGGAAAATGATGTTGTACAGGATGCTCACAACGTTGATATTCATTACAACATTTGTAGATAGCAAACACTAAAAACTATGATTGAACCACTTCCCAGTGTAAGATGGACCAACAGACACTATACACATGGTAGAGACTGACGTAATAGTAAAAGATCTCTGAATATTGACATAATTGTAGTAATTAAAATAAACAAATAAAAAAACAAAACAAAACTTGCTGAACCAGAAGCTTGGCAGCCCCAGATTTTTGGTAAACTACACTGTCAGGACATCTTGGATCAAGTACTGCAGAACAATATACTGAAGCCTGGCCATAAGAAGTCCTTTAAAATGCAGAGAGAAACTTTGGATTATAATTAGGTATGTTTAACTTGATTACTGAATTGTTCAATATGCAGTCAATCTGTATCAACATCAGGCAATACCAGACTTATAAGTTTAAAGTTTTTTTATAATAGTAAAATAGATTTAATTTAAAAAATTAAAATGAATAGATCTGCATATCAAAGAAGGAAATTTTACCAAATAATTTTATAAAATATACTTCTGACTCACCATACAGTAGAAAAAAAGGTGTTCTGATAGTGTCAAATCATCAAACAATAGGTCGTGTTGAGGGCAAAAGCCCAAGTTTTTTCTAATTTCAATCATGTTATCTGAAATATTATATCCATTAATATAGGCCTCTCCTCTGGTAGCAGCAAAACGACCTAGAATTACATAGAAGACATGAACTAAGCTAAGTTTTCATGCAATATAAACAATACAATTGCAAGTTCATATTAGATTCTGAGTATTAAGGGAACTGGTACTGTTTTCTACAGAGAAATAAAGAAAAACACCCAGAAATTGCCTTTAGGGTGATAGAATTAGTCCTTTTTTATTTATTTGTGAAATCTATTATTAAAACATTTAGATTTGTTGCTATAGTCTAACATATCATTGTAATCAGATAGTTACTGAGGTCTATACTTGGGGCAAGAAGCAGTATAGAACTAAATAGGAGACAGCCTATGAAAAAAAGCCTATAAAAAACTATATAAATCGTGTTTCTTTGAGGGGTAAAACTTTCCAGGGTGGCTTGAGATTGGTGGGATTCTCTGGCCTGATCTTGGGCTTTTTTCTATAGGGTTGAATTTGGCTGTCTACATCTCAAAGTGCTGGGCCTGGCCATTAGAGTAGTCTGGGGGCAGGGCCTGGCCACTCATGCCCCTAGAGTTTACATTTTCCCCTTTCTGTTTACTATTGATAAACAATCAGGGGTTAGGAAATGAGGGTGACATCATTAGACTACTTCCTGCTAAATGGGATGGTCAAAGTCCTTGGTACAAGACTGACTTTCACTCTCAGGGTATAAGCAGGAGTTGCAGGTCTCTGGTTCCATAGATAGAGGCTGGCAATCCTGTAATAACAACTGACTGAAAGTCTGGTTAGAAGTCTTTTGGATCTGTTGTAGAAGGAATCTAGATAAGAAGTTTATAGACAGGGTGTGACCAGTAGGATTAAGAAGAGGAGGAGAAGAGGGGTTAAGAAGGGTAGTATCAATTTCATATTAGACTGCCAATGATCCACTGGCCTCAGAGGTATTGAGCTGTTCTGTATATTTCTGGAGATCCATTTGAAGTTGCTGGATCTTGTCTTTTATGCCCAGTTGGTTAACATAGAAGCAACATTCCTCCCCGCCAAAGAGACTAAGACTACTTCTCTCTGCTGTTAGTTTACCTAATCCTTGCCAATTTTGCAGACCTATGGTGGCCATGTAAGTCTCCCACTGGAGGTCTTGGATGAACTTAGATGAAAACTAATGGTAAAGAGCTAGGGAAGTAATCAGTTGGTTTGTTTGTGCATTGGCAGAAGTTGCTATTAATGAAAATTGAACATGCCAATTTTGGGCATTTAGTTGTACTGAGGCCAAGCTGTAGCAACAGAATGAGGCTTTAATAAAATCTAAGTCCATGGAAAAAGAGAGGAAAGGTCTTAAAATTTAATAGGAGGGGGTTTTCTATAAGCCTCAAGGGGGAGTAGAGAGATAAGAGAGAAGCCCAAGAGGTCATGGAGAAGCTGTGAGACTTCTAGGATAGAGCTGAGAGACATGAGTACCAAGGTTGCAGAGGCCCAGAAGAGCTTAAGAAAGCTATGGAACTGAGCAGAAGCTCCTCAGGGATGGTTCTAACAGAGAAAGTGTTTGGGGTTGGTTTGGTTCTGCTTTTTACAAGAAAGAGGAGTAAAAGTCTTAATAACTAGAGAGTTTTCCATATGGTGGGGCCCTGGAGGGCACAGCAAGCTCCAGGAGCCAGAGAGAAGACACTTATCAACTAGGCAAGGAGAGATAGATTGTTACACCAGGTGAAGGGGGAAAGTGGCTGAAGAGGCAGACTTTAGAAGTTGGAAGCAAATACAGTGGGTGGTAGAAGCCAGCAGAAACAAATGATCCATATTCACCTTAAGAAGGTCAAATCAGCAACTTGAGTCAGTCTGAAATGTAGAGACGTGGGCATAGCTGAAAGGTGAGTGTGGCATTATTTACCAATGCTACCTGAAGAGAGAGAACTTGGGAAGGGAGTAGTGTTTGTAGACCACTGTATGTTAGGAGATGGAATACCTGGTGTAAAGAGAAGACAACAGTGGATGACCTGAAGGTTAATCTGTTTTATTCGTGTATAAGAGTTTGGTTATAGCCAGAACATGCAGGCAAGCTGCTCATCTTTGGAGAGTATAGTCTAATTTTTTTTGTAAGTATGTAATGAGTGCAAAGGAAAGTCTCAGTTGGTGACCCAGGGTCTGAGAGCACATCCCTCCTCTTCTGTGACATAGAGAGAAAAAGGTGAGTTAAGTCTGAAAGACATAGTGCTAGGGTCTGGACAAGAGCCCACTGAAGCTTATGGAAGGGCTTGGCAATAGGCATGAGGAGGGGTTCATGTGAAAGGCCTAGGACCACGTCATATAAGAGGTGGGCAGAAAGAGAGACAGAGGGGATACAAGGCTGTAAGAAAACAGCCATCCCTAAGATGGATAGATTTTTGTTCTTGGTATCAGGTACTGTGTGTGAAGGAATTGAGCTTAATAGTCTTGTAAGCTGAAATAATATCTAGTTCCAGATAAGCAATCTAAGGGTTGGATACCTGGATCTTAGAGGGTGAGACCTTATATCCCCAGCCAGACAGAAAATTTAATAAGGTAGAGGTGTCAGCTTGGTAAACTTGCAGCAATGGAGTTCAAAGTAGAAGATAATGTATGTATTGTTTAAGTTTAAATTTAGGGAGAGACAAAGAGAGTAAGTCAGAGGCCAAGCCTAGCCAAATAGATGCAGGCTGTCCTAGAGTCCCTGGGGTAGGGTAGTCTATGAGAGCTGGGTAGAAGGATGAGTGTTTGCATTGGTCCAAGTAAAGGCAAAGATATTTTTTGACTGGGGGTCAAGAGAAATAGAAAAGAAGGCACCCTTGAGGTCTAGGAAAGAAAAATGAGAGGTCTCTGAGGGGATAGTAGAGAGGAAAGTATGAGGTTTGGGTACTATGCAGTAAAGGGGAACCACTGCCAAGTTGATAAGCTAGAGATCTTGAACCAAGCAGTAGGTTCCGTTGGGTATTTTGAATCACGAGCATGAGAGTATTAAAGGGAGAAGATGTGCAGTGCAGAAGGCTTTTTATTAAGTTGTCAGTGATAAGAGGCTTAAGTTCCCTTAGACTATGGAGTGAGTGAGTATTGAGCCTGGGTGATGTATTGGTAGGGTTTTGCAACTGGATATCAAGAAGGCATCACTGTTTGGCTGTATAGAGGTTTTGGGTATCCCATACAGGGGGTCTACCTAGGAAGCTGCTAAGGGCAAAGGTGTATCAGATTGTGTGGTTTGGAGGAGAAGAAGGAAGGGAATGGCTTGAGAGCCTGGGGTTAAGCAGATGTCAAGGAGAAAAGAAATAAAGGCCTATACTTTAGCTAGGAGGCCCTTTCCTAGCAAGGGGACAGGACAGGTTGGTACCACTAGGAAGAAGTAGGTAGGGGAGATACCCCTATAATTACAACTAAGTGGCGGGGTTTAGTGAGGCTACCCTCTACTTTGTCAATAGAGAAACAAGAAAGAGATGTGGGCCCCTACAACTCCATCAGGACAAAAGAAGTGGCTCTAGTATCCAGAATGAATATAGATGGCCCTGATATTATGAAGACTACCCAAGGCTTCCTGTTGGAGATGGCAGTAGTTGGGTCAAGAGAGCCTAGGTCCCCATAGTTGTTCATGGTTAGACCTAGGAGGTCCACTGGAAGGTGACCTGGGCTTGTCATCATGCCATGAAGGAGATGAAGACAGTCAGCTGCCCAGTGTTCCTCTTGATGGTACCATGGGCATGGCTGGAATGGTTTGCAAGGGTTTGAACAAACCTGGGTCCTGGGACCCGCCTGACTGCATTTGAAGCAGGGATATGGAGGTTCTTGGGCTTTGGGAGCCTGGGAAGCAATTATGGCTGGCCATAGGCAGCATCAAGTATTTTTGTTTGGGGGCTTTTTTCATTTCTTCCATGGTACACCTTAAAAGCTGCTAAGACTTCTACCTGCGGACTCAGGAGTCCCCTCTCTAGGCATTTAAGTTTGGTAATGTCAAGAAAACTCTGGGAAAAGAAGTAGGTCATAAGGTGTTGGTTGTTTTTCATCTGGAGTTTTGGGATCCTGATTGTTATATTGTAGAAGAACTTTTGTAAGGTGGTCCATCAATTGAGATTTAGTTTATCCTATCTGGCTGCTTAGATTTTTTTTTTCATAATTTACTACTTTTAGGGTAGCCTTATGGAGACCAGCCAGGAGGCAAGTTATAAATTGATCTCTTGCTAAAATGTCTCCCTGGGTATTGTAGATCTATTTGGGATCCTGGCTGAGACTGCCTCAGCCCCGACTGGGTGGGTGGCATTAGTTTGGTGGGTTTCATCTGCATGTGCTCTAGCCTGGTCCCAGATTTTCTTGTGTTTCTCCGGGAGAAAATCATTGGTGAGAATCATATAAACATCATGAATGGTGGTGTTGTAAGACTGCAAAATACACTGGAATTCTTTTAAAAAGGAGGAAAAATTAGCAGTGTACAACTCCAATCTCTTTTTTATTTCAGAGTTTGTTTAATGAAGAGGGAATGTGTATTGAGAACAAGCCATCTACCCCAGCAACTTCCTTCAAAGGGAAAATTCTGATTAGTCTAGGTTGGGTAGGGGAGGTGGCAGAGTGGGATTGAATAGCAGAAGGACAAGGTGTTGCCAGTAGGTTGACAATGGGTGCCAGTGAGAGTTGATCTGGGTGGCCTATCACTGAAGAGGGAGAAAGGGAGACTGAATTGGCCAGAGAGTGAGAGAGAGACTGATTGAAGCTAACGAGAGGAAGGCTTGTTAGAATGATCTATAGTAGTAGAGGGGCCAGTGTTCTAAAGGTCATAGCTAGGAGAAATTGTCTTTTTTTCTTGGTTGGCTTATATCATGTGGTCACTTTCATCAAGATGGGAAACAAATCACGTGACCAAATCCATCCTTTCCAGCCACGTGGCTGCCTCCATCTCAATGGACTCAACAGCTGTAATGGCAGCAAGTCACATGTTTCCATTAAGATTTGCAGATTTATTATTTATACATTTGCAACTATCAACACCAGTGTTGGGAGTTGTTACAGATCTTACATATTTTTAATCATACCCAATATGCTTGCAAATCTTG